CCCCAAAACCCCAAAACCCCAAAACCCCAAAACCCCGATGGAAGAGTAAGATTGAAATACTTATTATCAGCATTCATATGTTTTGCCTTAGACACTTTCCATGCTGATTGGGAACATTGTCTCAAGACTCAAATGGTTGTCCATACTATTCGTGAAGAATCCGTTATTGTCGAGCATCCACATCATAATCCAGATTGGAATACCTTTTCTCACCATATATGTCCAATAATTAGCAAAGAAGTTTGTGTACAAAATATCAATATTCTCAAACATCCATCTGATCGAAGTGCTATAACTATTGTTCCATGTACAATGGCCTCCTCTTTCTTTTGGCCATAAATCGACTAACTCCCTAGCATAGTGGAATGGATAAGCAACTCCCCACCCAAAAGTCCAGGCTGCAACAAAGTTAAAGAGTTTGATGTACCAGTAGGGGAAGTCATGGTAGACCCAGAAGAAGAAGAATTTATTCTTCAAAAATGCATACACTCCACAGAAGAATCAGTAGAAAGAAAAGTCTCTTGCCATGATTGGGTAGCTTCCTTTGAACAAGTATGAAGGCCCTTCTTCAAATGGAATCCTCAGCAAAGCGTTTAGTGGTGATGTGTACCCTCTTCTTAACTCAACAGGCCATGTTTTGTCTGCATAATAAGCTCTCGAAGCCATTTCGAATGGTACTGCAGTCCAGCAAGTTGGCAAGAAAGCAGTCATTGCACAGAACAAAATCTTGAAGCAATTCCAGTCAGCATATTCGATGGGACTCGAAGTACCTCCATACACAAGTCTCCATGATGACATTTTGATTCCTACATCTCCTGCGAAGTGGACGAACCCGAAGGACATCTTCTTGAGCATGTCTTTCCAGAAATTGGGCATTCTAAATACGCTTCTGAAGAAAATGTTTGCTTCCATCCTTGTCTTTGGCCACTCATAATATCCGTTCATGATTTTGACTCCATTGACGAAGTGTCTGGCTGGTTCATAAAGAAGCCCGATTGCAGCGGAAGGGTAAAGAGTCGCCTTGAAGTTGAGCCAAGCACTATTGTCGTAGGCTGGCTTCCAGTAAGGCCCTCTGATCATGGGGTCCTCATAAGGCTGATGGTACCTCTTTACATCATCAAACTCAAAGTATGACATTTATAATATTATATTTTTCTCAATTATAATTAATATACAAGGGGTTTTGGGGTTTTGGGGTTTTGGGGTTTTGGGG